TGAAAGATGGGGAATATGTGACATGAATCCAATATCACAGAAGGAACTGTGAAGTACGTATGTGATTAACAAGGCCATATCTTTATTAGTGATATTTGCAGGGCTTGTTAAAGGATCAAGGCTTGTTCTTTTCAAAAGCTAACTATATGCTCCTATATGTGCATTCGTTTCGGGGGTTGAAACCGGGGATGAGCTAAATATAGGTGCATATATTTCCCCTAGATATCCCTGAAGATCTTTATCTAGAACTGTTTCTTCCTCTTTTAAATTTAAATTATATATCATGTACCTGCCAGTCATTTGGCACATTCCTAATTTAAACAGGGAAGACTTGTTTTTCCAGACACTTTTTCAAGACTCATCTCTTTAAAAGACCAAACTAGTTCAATTTCTAACTCAAGTCAAATGTTAGGGACAAATTATCAGAACCTAACCAACAATCTGTGTCATATTCTCTCAGAGAATTAGCCAATTACTCAAAAATAGAGAGCTGTAAATTTCATACTTTTCTCAAATCCCTTCTTTAGTAAATAAATGCTAACCATCCAGTAATCTCTCCATCTGTGGTGATTCCTTTTTGCAACAGGCAATCTGAAGCTGAGTTACAGCCTATGTCACTGGGATCTTAGTGCAAATACCTGAATTTACGAAGAAGCCAGTGCAATTTGTTTTCTTCTATACATGACAAAATTCAGACTTATTTGTATGATGACATCATTTCACTTCTAGGAAATACAACATAATTCCCAATTCAAAGCAAATGACAGAAAAACATGGAAGACACGGTTAACTGATCCAGAAAGGCATGCAGTTCCTTCTGAGGAGTTGGAAACCATGTTCTTAAAAGATCTGCTTGTTACCTACCAGGGCTTGAGAGTTTTGTGGCATGCAAGAACTTGCCTAGAGCTGCTCCCTTCCAGCATTTTCAACTGATGAACCTAGAAAGAAGATGTACGCGTGCTGTGTGTGCGCGTGTCTACTAAGACTGTGGAGCAGGAAAAGTGACATACAATTCAGAGTAGAATAAGACAGCAGAATAAAATATCAACAAAATGCAGTGTTGTTCTATGAAGAACAGAGTTAATGAAGCCAATCGCTTTGTATCTGGGGCTAATTGACTTTTTAATTGAATTGTTCTGAAATGGCAGTGTGAACTCATCTTTTATGAGACATCAGAGAAGCCACAAGGCAGAGGTGTTATGAACTCCACAACCACAAGAAAAGCTAAAGCTAGAACACATGCCTTCTTGGGCACTGGCAATTCAATACGGGAGGATAACCTTGAGCAAGGAGTGGGTTCTCTGGCATTTAACACAATGCAAACTTTCTTCTAAATTTCTCCTGAAATGTCCTTAAACTGACTCTAGCTGGTAGTCTTCCTGATGTAGAAGATGGGCTTCATTTTTGATGGTCTTTTTCCTCTGTGGGTCATTGGCAGGATTTTGCTCTGCCTTTGTCCTGCCAGCCATTTTACAAGCCCTGTCATGATCTCATATTTCTGAGAGCTTTTTTTCTCAATTACGAGCTGAGTTGAAAGCGATCAATGGGCTCAACAGTTATTAAGAGGGTCAGAGAGTAATTACATAGATGGGGCATGAGGCAGAAGCCTCATTTCCTCTGGAAAGTGAGCCCTGAAAAAGCAAAAGGCATGGAGAGAACTTAGGGGGAATTTTCTAACAGACATCACAAACAGCTTATGAAGTCTAACAGTTTCTATTTCCATGCCCAAGCATCAGTGTTAGTCCAGAGAGCCCTTCTCGTGCCCCGCTGGCACCTGCCTGTGCTCTGAGGCATGCTATTTCATCACCTCTATTACTGTGTGTGCACCCACGAGGACAATTTCTACCCCAGTATTGCTGGCAAAATCCTACCCCTCTCAATGCAGTTTCTACTAAAGACCAAAGCACCCATGTTCACAAATGGAGGATCAAAATTTTGTTAACCGGTATATTAGTGATTTTGCTCTCCTGACGTGCTGAAGATTCCTCCAGTTTGTCCTCCTGTGGGTTTGAAACCGGAACACAAGCTCAGCTATGAACTTCTCCGTTATTATAGCTCGAAAAGGACGTGTGTTCCTTGAGCTAGGGCTTCTCCAGAACCTTTGTTCTGCCTACTGCCTCTCAGAAGATGGAGGTCACCTTGCAGAGCCCCTTTTATTTTCCATACACCAGCCTTCTTTATCAGTTTCATATTCTTTTGGTCCTCGAGATTACAAGGAAAGCTTCCAAAGTTTACAGAGTGCTAACTACTGGTATATAGATCATTTTGCTTGGGGGCAGGAAGAGGAAAGAGGTAAAAAGCCCTGTAGGATTTATTAGGGGAAAAAAATGACAAAATGATAGAAGGATTCCCTTTGGGTGTAGAAGGATGCACCCCCAGCTGGAGGTGTAGCCAACTGGTGACTCCAGTCTGATGGTTTCTGGAAGCCATCCCTGAGTACTCATAGCCTGAATTTGTTCTTTTTAAGGTCATGGTTATCTCTGGGAAACAGTGGCATGTTGGGTGTCTTGTGTTTGTTTCTCCAACACACTTTTAATGTAGTTTGGAGATTAATAGGTCTCCCAGGAGTGACTCTGCATCCTCTGCTCCGTCTCCTTTTTCTGGCATCTTTTACAACACATTTATTTTTGCACATTATGCAAAACAATGCAGAAGTGGGAGTGGGACATCTCTAAAGGCCATATTGAAGCTCAACAGAGAAATGGGACACAATGCTCTGTGCAGGGGGCAAAACTGGTTAAACAGAGCCTTGCCTCAGCTCCAGGGAAAGGCCGTGTTGGAACCATTCCCTGGAAGGTATCGGTAACGATCCCTGAAAGGACGTGAGTTTCTGTGACTCTTGTAGTGTGTGTGGGAAGGCTGCAGATATCAAGAAAATGAGCACTTAAAATACCAGAAGGGGGTGGGAGCAGAGCTGCCAGGGAGAGGCAGCACTGCCAAGCTCAAGGGTCCTTGCAATGAAGTTCAAGGATATCTGCCTCAAAACTAGCTGAAATGGATTGCATGTATGGTAGCTTCTGCCTCTAGATTAAGAGGTTCTTCACAGGTTGTCTGAGCTGTGCTGTTCCATGTCCTCCCGCTGACTGCAACTGGTAGACATCCCATGGGACCTGTAGCAAAGAGTTCAAGGTTGCCAGACCAGCTGCATGCACTGAACACCTTTATCTGTCCTGGGTCCCTCACCTCACCGGGCTTAGACATTGCTGCTCCTGTTTCCTCCTCAAGAAAGCTCTCTGCTTCTCTCTTTCATGACCTCCCTGCATGCAGAGGCTCTCCTGGAGCTGGGCGCATGTGGGAGGCATGTGCGTGTCTCCTGCTGGGCTGCAGAGCTCCTCAGAAAGGCCGGCAACAGGATGGAGAGCAGCAGGCATGGCATGCTCCCAAGGAGGGAAATACCAGTGCATCATTATGTGGTGATTCAGACTCCTCTCCTAATCACTAATAGAAGATCAGAAAGCCTCAAGGGGCTTCACCCTCAGCCCTAGAGATGTAAACTCCCAGCGGAGCACGTAAACACTTGGTTGTGTCTCTAATCAGAGCCTAAAAGCACATCTAAATTTAACATCCAAATTGTGATCGTGCGTCAAAGACATGCCCAAATCTGCTGGTTTGAAACAAAGGAACAAACACATCACTGGGGTTCAAAGTGTGTGTGGTTGGGGTGGCCTCAAAGATGGGCGATGCAGCAACTGATGCCCTCAGGGGCATCGGTGCAGGGCAAGGCTGTTCCAGCCAGCAAGGGCCAGTGGTGGAGGCTGGGGCATGGACACGGCTGGTCCCCACGGGGGCCTCCTGTGGCACGTGGGCTCCTGTGTTTTTCGGTCGTACCACAGAAAAGCACTGTAGATTGCCAGGGAGCAGGTGTGGCCCCAGCCCCACCTTCCCATTCCCTTCAAGAGGAGCCTTTAAACGAGATAGAACCCAAAACACAAAACAAGCCAAGTGCTGAGCACACCAAGAGCAGCATTCCCCTTGCTGGCTGTGGCGAGGACGCAGCCCAAATCTTTGGCACAGAAAGTTAGAGAAAAATCAACATTTTGATGGGAGAAGGAGGACTTTTTTTTTCTCCCACAGCTTTCTTTTGTCAGCACTCATGCCAAAGTTTCTTTCTTTCTTTCTTTTTCTTTTTTTTTTCTTTTTTTCCCTATTCTCTCCCTTTGTTTCTTT